GTCACAATGGGATGAGCCTGTTACTGAGCGCACCTCCAAAGGTAGGTAGAACAGCGGGGGGGGGGGGGGAATCTGCTGTGCCAGACGATTTAGATTAGCTAGAAAGCAGGAAATCCAACGATTCTAGCTAATATAAATTGTGTGTCACAGCTGATTGTCGGAAATACCAGTTCGCCCGAACCGATAGCACTTTTTTTTTACTACAGGTTCGGGCGAAGTGGTCCGAACCTGTAGCATTTCACCCCTGGATTCATTTTTGTAACCCAAACACAGAACAGAATATGGTATAAAAAAACAGAATACAGCACACAGAATGCAGCATACAAAATAAAGAATAGCTGAGTTGGAAGGGACCTTGGCGGTCTTCTAGTCCAACCCCCTGCTCAAGAATTCCCCAGCCATTCTGGGAATTGAAGTCCACAAGTCTTAAAAGTTCCCCAAGTGTGGACACCCCTGCCCTATACCTTCCAGACTCATCTGCCTAATCTCTTTTTAGAAATCTCCAATATTGAACACCCACAACATCTGGAGGCAAGTTGTTCTACTGATGGATCGTTCTCACTCCCAGAAAATGTCTCCTTCATTCTAGCAACAGAGACCAGGTCTTTAAACAGGGTTTGCCCTTCCCCTTTTCTTACCTTATAAGAACCATGTAACCTGGCATGGCTCCAAACGAATAAATCAAACAGCAGATTAAGGATAAAATTAAGAAATAATGCAGCATTGTGTCACAGGTCTTCTCTCTTTTGCACTGTCCTGGCAGTGCCGAACCATTTCCCCATAGAAACCCTGGTGCTGAAATGCAGGAACAGTTTGTAAGTACCTGTCAAAATATCAACAGAAAGAATTTAAGGTTGTATTGTGAGTTGTATCTGCTCTTAATCTCCAGTGGAGACTGTTGGTGGCATTATAGTCTCAAGTACCAACACTCTCACATCACTGGCAGGGCAGAGCCCAATGTTCCTATGGCTGAGCAAGACAGTTGTTAAGTGAGTTTTGCCCCCTTTTACCACCTTTCTTGCCACCGTTGTTAAGTGAATCACCGCAGCTGTTAACATCAGACACACAGCTGTTAAGTGGATCTGTCTTCCTCATTGACTTTGCTCATAAGAAGGTCCCAAAAAGTGATCCCATGACCTTGGGACACTGCAACCGTCATAAATATGAGCCGGTGGCTGGTGCTGCTTCTTCAACACAAGTGTTATTCTATTCAGCTGGCCCGCAGTGCCTCTGCCAGCAAAAACGGAGCTCGGGAGGGATGCATGCACCAGTGGTGAGATTCAAATAATTTAACAACCGGTTCTCTGCCCTAATGATTTCTTCCAACAACCAGTTCACCAAACTTGCACAGAAAATTAACAGCTGGTTCTCCCGAAGTGGTGCGAACCGGCTGAATCCCACCACTGGTGTGCACCCTTCCTGACCGCCGTTTTCGCTGGCAGAGAGTTGCAGGGGGGCGTTGCAGTCATAAACGGAGCTTGTGGTGTCCACAGGCAGCAATCCCAAGCTCTGTTTTTGCTGGCATAGGCTTGCAGGAGGCTGCCACAGCCAAAAGGGATCTTAGGAGCCCGTTTTAGCTGGCAGAGCACTCAGGCCATCCCATGTGCCCCCGACACGACTGATGGCAAGCTGGCCACGCCCACCCTGGCCACACCAACCCCATTTCCCCCCACAAGGTCAAACATAACCCTGATGCGGCCATCAATGGAATCAAGTTTGACACCCCTGCCTTACCGTGTTCTTCCCGGTTCCGTTGGACACGCCACACCCAGCAAGGCATGATGAAACATAAGTCATTCCGTTCTCCCCACAAACAGGGTCCCAAGTCTTTGTAGAGCAATTGCAGTGGCGGTTACAGTCAGCATACAAGTATGCATCTGTGTAGGACACCTCTTCTATCCTGAAAAACATACACAAAGTTGAGCAGAACACAGGTGCAGTAAAAGAGAAAGAGCCTCTTGGAAATGACACGCTTGGTGGCTTTATGACGTCAAATACGTTTGATGAAGATTTAAGGAATTATAAAATGCACAGGTACAGCACAGGTGGTACCTTGCTCAATAGTAGTAACTGTGAGAGGGATCTTGGAGTCTTAGTGGACAACCATTTAAATATGAGCCAGCCATGTGCAGCAGCTGCCAAAAAAGCCAACACAGTTCTAGGCTGCATAAACAGAGGAATAGAATCAAAATCCCTTAGAGTGTTAATACCACTTTATAATGCCTTGGTAAGGCCACACTTGGAATACGGCATTCAGTTTTGGTCACCACAATGTAAAAAAGATGTGAAGACTCTATAAAGAG